ATTTTCTTCTTTATCCTGCATATCATTATAATCTTTTGAACTGTCCTTAACTAGATCTTCAATAAAATCTCTTGTAAGAAGATCCTTCATTTTTAATTTACATATACTCTTCATATATTGGTTTTCTATTTTCGCTTGTTTCACCTTCCGTTTCGCTCCGTGCAATAATTAAAATTCCTTTTACTAAATCTTCAGCAATTTCAATATTACGACATAAAATTAACTGTCCTAATACACAAAATAAATAATAAATAAAATTGTTTTATACGAGAACGCGAATCTTTAAAAAAATTGGCATATTTTTTTATAAAATGTGCTACATCGATACGTATGTAGCAAGCAGATAAATCATTTTCTTTGTACGCGTCCGCATATTCGTCAAGCGTAAAATAATTGGTAAAACTTCGCACGGCTGCTATTAATAATGCGCGTGAGAAATCACATACAACTTCACGTGGTCGTGGTGCCCCGGATCGTATCCATTCCATTAACCAGTACTGAATAATATTTGTATTATGTTTTTCAGATAACATCTGTGATACTGAAAAAAGTCCACTTTTTCCGAATTTACAACACAATTATATAAAAAAATGTGTCTCGTCTTTAATTTATCAGGCCTTTTCATTTTTTTAATAATACTTCCAGTTGCATCAATGTAAATGCTGCTGTTTCGTCAGATGTACATATATGTTCTGTATACATCCAACTGATAATTTGACTAATAATGTACAAAAAATGGACTTAATCCAATATTATGGATAATATTTTTTAATGGTCCTAATTGCATAATTTCTAATGCTCTTATTAAATCTTTATGAAAATAATTAGCTTGCGTAAGATTATATTTAGCAACGCGTAAAACATTTGCACTAAATAAATACGGAGGATCTATGTTATCGCAACTTTGCATTAAATCTTCTGCCATTTCTGTTCTATATTCCATAACACTTGTAACGATGCAGCATGCATCGTTACGGCATGGCTACAAACCGAATATTGTCCGTAGCTAAAAAGCGCGCATCGAGCGCCGATAAACACTCTCAATAAACACCGACGGTCAATCACTGGACAGTCCCCCCACACTCGACCGTTCCGAAAATTACCAGGTGGGGGTCCGCCGGTTAGACCGCCAGCCGCCAATGCTTGCCGATCCTAAGCCAGTCGGGCGACAGCCGGATATAAAAGAGGTTTGGCTGTACGCCTTTTCACCAGATCCTGTTCGCTGCTCGCTAGCAACAAATTTTTTCAATTAATTATAACGTTTTTAATCCGCGCCGTACCGGTCTGCGACGACAAAGTGTCGTTTCTCGATACTTAAAAACGAGCAACAAATTCAATTTCTTATATATTTCGATAGTACAGAGTCTGTAGATTAATTTGGTACCAAAAACATACGAGCAACAAATTATTTCAACTAGTTATAACGTTTTCAGTCCGCGCCATACGGGATCCGCCACGGCAAAGTGTTGCTTCTCGATATTTTAAAACAGCGCTCGGAATTGGTTGCATATTTCGGGTCGATTTCCGAGACAACGCCTTCTGTTCCCCCACTACCGCCCAGTCGCTGGCAGCCGAGTCGCCAATAGCTCTGGCTCAGAAGCGTTTTATGTTAGAAATAGGCTGGATTGTTTAGGCATCTCTCAAGAAATTGTAACATTTTCTTCGCTACATAAATAATGTTTATTTGCATTAATAATTAAATATACATACAGAGTGTCCCGCGTGACTTGTCCCACCGGGAACAGGGAGGTAGATAGGATCGAAATAAATACAAAAGTCCTTTACCGTTTTACAGAGTGATATTCGCAATAATAAACGAGATATTAATTTTTACATGTGGACTAATGAGAGCGCGTCGAGAGAAGCGCTCCAAGCCGCTCGAAATCTAGCCCGGCTTGGTGCAGTGCGGCGAGACGTGAGCCGGACGCCGAGCCACGGCACGTTTCCCCTCTTGCCTCTCCAACATGCCGCCCGCAATCAATGTATGATAGACTAGGCGATAACTAGGCTTAACTGAAACTGAGCCGAGCTCTATAATAGCACCTTACAGATGATGTACATGTGGAAATTTATTGTCCTATATTTATTACCATGTCGCAGCGTTTGGAATTAGTTGCACATTTCGGGCCGATTTCTTGTACTAGTACAAAGAACTCTAGTACTGTTAGATTTTGAAAAAAATGATTCTAGTGTAGCAGTTTTCTTCAATACTTTTTCTTCTTTTTCCCTTTCTTCTTTAGCATTTTTTCTGAATTGATAACCACTTAATCGTTTTCTTCCGTCACTCATCGTTGAACTTTGTAAAAAATAGATCTATATAAATTTAATATAAATATACAGGGTGTCTGGCAATAATCGCCCCACCGGTCATATACAGGTAGAGGAGGTCAAATCGAGTAGAAAAGTTCTTTACCATTTTTTAATTTTCATAATAAGTACTGAGTAATTAACGAAAAAAGATCGGCGAATCCGCGCGAGTAAAGCGCACGCGGTGAGAAGGACGTCCCACTGCTACGCGATCACTAGGACACAAGGATCTAGCGTTACGGCCGCTCGTATGTTGCCATTGTCATTTGTAGAGCGCTCCTCCCAACGCTTCATCGCGCGCCTAGTGATCGCGTAGC